TCACTGCAAACTGAGGTGTTCTCATCAGTAGCTACTGGTAATGAAATGTAGAACAAATATTTGAAGAACAAATGCAAGGTTGTCACAACCTTCTTTCTCATTCCAAACTACGTAACTGAGAAACAGAATTTCATAATCACACGTAGGTTACTTTTAATCTTGAACTTTGCTTATTTACTATTGTTTCTGTATTGTTTTAGGAGTGCATATTAGTATGTATTAATGAAGACTTCTAACAAAGGTGCTCCCAGATGTATGTATGAAGAATGTGTTGTTATTAAGAACACAACAATATAGATTAAATTCAAACCATTATAATCCTTTAAAAGAAATAAATTACTATTTATTACTGAACAGGAACAAATACAGGTATTGTTCACATTGATTATGTGAAACAATGTTAAGGACAATTAGGCTATGAATTCTCATTAAACCTTGTTTTTCTTTAGTTGTTTTGAAAACAGAGGGATAACTGTCATTTGTATAATACATTATTCTTATATCCTCAGAGATACTAATCTATTTGTTTCATGTCCTGGCTGTTTCCATAATCTGTAGGTCACATAAGCGAGTTGCAGAAAACAATTTTTTTTTTTTTTTTTTTTAATTAATAGTGTCTATCTATGGAAACTTTAGCTCAGTCACTTTTTCTGACTGATAGTACTTGATAATACTAATTTACATACTTGAGCTTTTTGGAATTCACAGTATCATTGATATATTGAAACTATACTTCATAGTAAGAAATTATTTATAAGACTGGCTTGGCTGTACCTAAGATTTTACATTCTCACCATAATGCTTCATATAGTACCATTTACATGCAAAGAAAATGGAGGAAATGGTGCTGCAATCAGACCTGCAATTGACTACATTAATATCTATTAATCTCAGTGAGAAGTTGCACAAAGAGATCCATCTACATAGGCAGTCCTGATTTCAAACTTTTTCATATGCATTATATACTAGAAGAATTAGCAATTTTGCTAGTCTGCCAATTCCAATTTAACATATAAATGGTTGTATATAACATCACACATTGTTATTTAAATGCAAGTCCAGAGTGCTTTATATATAGATATACACACACAATATGTGCATATATATATGTCATGAACCTTTTACTTCTTTTAAAATGAAAAATGCATAAAAGTGGCTGTTAAAATTGTGGTGTTTGGACGCTTTGCTGAAGTCTGATAATCTCACTTCTGCAAATCATGGCATGTGGTGTTTTTTCCTCAAGAGTATTTCAGACTGCTGAGGAAAATCATGTTCCAATATTCTTCTGTAGTCAAGCAGTTTCAGTTCTTAAAGAATGGCAGGAAACAGTATAAATATAGCCTTACCATCTTGTGCAAATTCTCTGAGAGTGACAGAACTTGGTCAGAGCTTCTCAGTACCTAGTGAAGGCCTGCATATCCATGAAAAAAATGCTTGGACGGATTGGCTTCCCTATTGCTCTCACTGCTGGGGTCAAAAGCAACCAGTGAGTGGGGCCACTGAGAAAGAAAACACAGCTCATGCTTTCCCCTCAAGCAGACCAGCACTTGGCTCTGAAGTGTGGAGCTGCCCAAAGTGCCTCCACTCACTTTTCTGTAAAGGAGGCAAGGGCAATGGCTCCCCTGCTGAGGCCTCCTCCTCTTCTAGATGCCTCCGCAGAGGGAGAGGAAAGGGGAAGGACGCAGAGATAGTCACCTCTGCAGCTGCCCATTCAACCTGGGCCACGTGGGAAAGAGCTGGGTAGGACTTACCTGCCTCTAGAACACAGCTGCCCAAGTGCACAAAAGCAAGACTCTTTTCCCAAGTTATATTGGCTTCACACAGTCATTTTAAGCATGACCTAATGTAAGTCCCATTAACACTAAATCACACAAATAGAAGTATTTTTAAAGGTATAAATATTTTTGTCTCTCCATCAACCTAAAGATGAAATCCAGGCAAATACATTTTTTCTTCTGCACACAATTTAGAAACTTATATTGTACTGCTACTAAATCAGCTGACTTGACATCTTACTAATTCTGCATGAACAATCGCAATATTATTTCCATTCGCTTTATGTGCTGCTGACAAGCTAATTTCTAGCCTCCTACACTTCTGGGATGCCTGACAGTCCTAGCTACCCTTAGATCAATCAAGTTGTGAAGCTGTATTTACAGTCTGAGTATTTACCTTTTTTTCTGTTGACTATTAAGTGTAGTAATTAATATATCTCAATAGCTTTAAACAAAAATAGCAAATTAAACATTTATTTTTTGCTCTTTTCAGACAAATACTGTGTTGTATTCTGTTGCCCATTCAGTAATAAGACAAAATAAAAGAAGTCTAATCCAGCCAATTTTCCAGTTTCAGAGGAAACATGTTTTGAATATCTGAATCAACATCCTCAAGATACCAAATTGCAAGCTTTGGGGCCACTGTTATTCCCAGACAGGTGTCCTCAGGACCAGGCCAGTACTGCCATTCTTGCCCTTCACTGAGCTGAGGTAACAAATCTTGCTGGGCTTAAAATAAAGCTACCCCTCTTCCCCTGGCAACACATGCATAGCAGTAACTTGATTTAATTTGTCTGCTAGATGATGAGGCACAGACATTTTAAAAAGCTACAAGCCTCAAGATGCTCATCTGACCACCATGAACTCCAACTTTCTTTAGAACTGCAAAACATATTTATATTTTTGCTCCTTCTCTCTTTTTTTTTTTTTTTTTTTTTTTTTTTTTTGGTGATGAATTTTAGCATGTTAAAAGTCCTAAATGCTAGCACAAGTAGTAACTTTTTCTCTGAATCATGGTCACATGCGTAACTTCTCAAATCACACCAAATGAATTTAAGCTCAAGATTTGCAGTCTCCCATTTTTCCTTTCTGTCCTTGCAAAGTTTAGCATTTTAGACTTACTTATTAACTATTAAAGATACATCAACTTGGGTAATACAATTACCTGGAAGAGAGGTATACAGTCTTTAATGTAATACTAATGTTACTTTGAGAAGACAGGCCAAAAAATGTAACTTACCTCCAATCTGTAAAGAAATCTATCAAAATTGATCTGATATATACCTAAGCTTCTTTTAAAGACAAGGTATAGAACAAGACAATACTGTACAAACCCAGAATTTTTACAGAAAGTACTGCCTAAATGCAAAATTTTATTCCAAGATTAGCCCATGAACAGCTGCCATTTTGATTTCTTTTACAGCTTCCTGTTGCTCCCCTCCTCTGTCTATTGCTGCCTGTTGAAAGACAGCGCTTTGTTGTGTCTCTTAGCTTGGGTATGTTGGATAAAATGAGGGTACTAGAAGCAACAGAAGTTTCATTTTTATTTAGTGGCTTTAGTTTGTCACTGTGTCAAGCAGTATAATCATATTTGCTTCTGAATTCTTGTGCAGAATCCAGATTTAGAATGGCTGAGTGTTTCTGAAAGACACTGAATGTTTTAATTTCCATATTTTGTTGTCTTAAAGGAGTGTTATAAGTAATCAGAATCTTGGAGAAAGATTTGCAGACTAAACTTACCACACTAATATTATCCAGTTATTAAAAGTCCAAATTAAAGCTAGATGAAAAATCATGGAGAGATTTCCATTGACAATAATAGATTTTAGGTTAAAATCTTTGATTATTAAAAATTCATTTTGAGCCATGCTCAGAAATCTTTTTATATGGTGATTCTCAAAATGCATCCATTATTGTGAGCACATGCTATGTAAATGCATTGGGCTGGTTAATAAGCATTCACTGACACACATCTGCAGCTTTGCTAATGTACCTTTTATTCGTATGTAGTTGCCAAGGAAACAGGTTATGGCCCAGTATTCTATCTAAAAAATACTGAGCAACTGTTCCATGATCATTTACTTAGAATAGGTAGAATTTAGATTTTGAAGCTTATTGCTCTGCAAGTCCAGGTGACTTCAATTTATCTAATTTTAATATTTCATTGATTAAGCTAACAATGCAGTATTTTCTCTGAAAATCTGTCACCATCTTCTGTCTTTAAATCATAGAGCATTCGGTATTAAAATTAACTTAGACTACAGATATTATTTTGAGATATTCTAGAACAAAAAGAATGTTTCTTTTTGATGTTTTGTACATGTGTTTTAAATAGCTCTTTTTCTTACATTTTTGAACAGCAACCTAGTTATCTGCTTTTAACTTAAGGTATATCAGTATTAATGACTATGAGCACACAGATCATTTCCTACAGAAATTTATGTGAATAGTGCCACTACAATCAATGAAACTACTCCCTGGCTACAATGCATATTATACTGTATGATGCAAAGGGCTAGGTTCAAAATTGAAGAATTATCGGGATTTCAGGTTCTTTCATTCTATACATATACATATCTCAACATGAAAGAGCATATACCAGATACGCTAATTTTAACTGAGATGAAATTTGATTCATAATAAGACAGAAACTGATATTCGAAAACGTCACACAAAATGCATAGTCGTATTTTGAAAAATCCTGAGTATCACAATATTTTACTTCATTTTATTAAGTGCTTACTGAAGCTCACAATCCAATGTTTTCTTTTTTTACCGCCCCTGATTACAGTCATGTATAGAGATTAGCATTTTATGAGATGGACTATATAAAATTCAATCAAAATTGCAAGATTAAAATTGGACATGGGCACTAATAGACTTCCTCTGCCTTTACTGCATGCCATAGACTTATAATGGTTGCTAGTGCTGACATCCAGAGCTAGTATTCTGGAAAGCTTAAGAGGTTTGCTCCCTGCCTGCCAACATGTCTGGTTTGCACAGATCACAGGAGTTTCATGGAAGCCATAACAACCTGTTTCAAAGGTCTGTTCTACAAGATTTTGTTTCTGTAACCTCTACAGCAATAAAAATCTAACAGGAGATGGGAAAAAAAAACAATATTAAGACTGAATATAGTAAAGCAGTAAAACAGTGGGGAAAAAATCTTAAATGATTATTCAAGAGATTATGGCTTACTATCAGTCAGCCCATAAATTTACTCACCTAGAATCAGGTTGTTCGTCTGTTACTGTCTTTTTAAACTGGTGTCAACAGCTCTGTCTGGCAAAAGCATCTCAGCAATTGTGGGACCTCTGTGGCTCCCCTGTGTCAGTCTGCAAAGGGGAAAAGCCAAGTTCAATACCTACATGGTTAGATAAGTACTAATTTCCAGATACATCATGTAACTCATCATCACTTTCTTTGGAATGCTGCAGGGCTCCCTCTCTAGCCATGTGAGCCTCGCAGCTCATTAGCAACGCAACAGTTCTGTTAACCACTGGAAGGACTGCTTTGGGGTGCATGGTTTCTTTATAGTTGAACCTGTGTAGTGCAAACAGGACACCATGTTTCATAGTTCTAGACTGGAATGTAAGGAGATGTTCTAGATGAAGTTTGAAACCATTTCTTCACCAGGATTTTGGGAATAATTAGGCTAAAAGCAGGCCTTAGCTAGAGCCATCCAAATGTATCCAATCCATTCCTGTCATATTTACTTAATAAGACATCCAATAATGGAGGCTTCCTGCTTTTCTCAGTCAATCTGTTTCTGAGTTTCACAAAGTTGTCAATGAAAAATAATTGTGTTTAAGATTAGCTACCACATCTAGCCAGTTCAAAAAAATTATGGTACTGTGGGAAACAATGTTCATTGCCAGGCCACTCCCTTGACTCCACATAAACCTCAGAAGCCAATTACAATTTATCGTTTATTTTTAAAAACACCATGTATTTTTGACATCTCTCAAAGGGCCTTTTCTCTCCCTTCTTTCCATTCTGCCACTTCTGTTCTGACTGCTTTTACCACAGATAAGACTTTTTAGGCAACATATAGTCTTTCTGTATCTCGCTGCTTAAATGATTCTTCATTGCTTTCAAACATTCCAGTTTTATGCTTCAAACATTCTAATAACTTTATTATATAATACCGTCAAAATAATTTAGTGCAAGGCGGCATCCTGAAGACACTAGACAAAACCAAATTGTTCCAGTGAACAAACTGCAGTGTCTTGCGGATGAGGCTCATGACTCAGCCAGCAGGCATTCACAGAGCGGCAGAAAGAATAAATAGCTCCATCTTCCATTTGCAAACATATCGCTGTAATTTCATAGACAACTGAACTACAGCATCCACCACTTGTTAGGTTTTAGCTGGAGGAGTCTATGCATGTCTCCTCAATAAAGGAGAATATGAAAAAATAAGCTATTATTATTATTATCATCATCTCAAATAGCAGTAAAGCCATGAGCCCATTTATAGTTACAAGTCATTGACAAAGATTATGGTGAACAGGAAGACGAATGCAACAGAAAAAGAGGATTTTAATCAAAGCATAAAGAATCCCCAAATTTGATAATGCTAGAATGCACATGTACCGCTATACATAATAAATCAATTTTAATACATGCTAAAACCCTATATCTGACAAAAACTTAAACATTGTGAAGAAAAACAGTCATCTTAGATGCTCCAAAAGGGTTAATTGGTACCTGTTCATTACTATCACAATCTGAGGGTAATAATCTGACAAATATTATCAAAACATGGATAGTTTCACACTGGGAGATCTGCAAATCAAAATGAAACTTAGAGCCAGAAGTATCCTAATCTGAAAAGGTAATTTAAAGGTAAGCAGGATAGCGTCCGCTGGAATTATTTTTTGCTTGATTTTGTACCTATTCAAGTTTTATATAAATTTTCTGCTTGGCAGAAGTGGAATTTCCATGCATAGATTTCAGTATAAAAAGGGAAACTGAATATCAGCAATTTGGCATCTAGGATAAAACTGGACAAAGAGCCAAGTCCGCCCCCCTCCAGCACTAACATTTGACAGGTTGTGCTGAGGCGTGAAAAATGGCACCTGTTCCTAGGTGCCTCTGTTACCTCCTTAGCCAAAGGGAATAAAATGCATAAAGTTTACTCAGGATTTCATATACCACCCCAGCTTTGACATTAGCTGCCTTGCCCTAGCTAGATTTAACTACCATTAAAATCTGCACAGCACAGGCTGTATGATACTGGAACTGCAAACAGCTTGCTAATTACTCGAAACCTCCTTAATAAATGAATCCATTTCTTCAGCAAGAAGAAATTGCCAGCAAGAAGAAAGGCTGCCAGTGAGTTTTTCCAGAGCCATGAAAACACTTGAGTTCAGTCATATTAATTATAAGAGGACTTGCACCCTCTAACAAAAGAGCGAATTTGCAAATGGATTTAAAACAACCATAGTGCAGCAAGCTCGTGCCATGGAGCTGCACTTCCTTGAGTAAATATATTTAAACACAAAGAAGTAATAAAAACAGTTTAACGAAAAGTGCCACTTATTTTCTAAAGATAAATATCAACAGCAATAAATAGATTGCTACTGCAGAACATTAGCTCAGCAACTTCCTTTAAAAATAACCACACAAGAAATAAACAAAGAAATACAGTTTGGGTAAGAACACGTAAGGGTGTTTTTTCCATAACATTTCAGATTGAAAGAAAATATCAGAGATAAGCTACTGGGGAAAAATAAAAATATATTAAAAAAACAACGTTAATATGTCACTTGAGAGATGCTGTTTATTATGTTTTCAGTTCTGCTTCCTTATGTGGAATTGGGAAATATGATTGCTCGGTGTCTAACTCATCTAGTAATTACCAGCCAAATGGTTTTATTATCATTATTAAGCATTGGCCTATCAAGACAGATGACAACAATCATCTTCCTGAACAGTTATACACTGTTTATTTGGAATACATTGAACTAATTCTTATTTATTTTTAAATATCAGTTCAATCTCACTGAAACTGTCAAGGTTATCATTAATATAATTGACTGTGCTTCTAACACACCTTTTGTATTGATTTTCCATGCTAGATCATCATCCACATAAAATATACTCAGTCATTTTAAAGTCAAGGACGTGAAAGGAAAATGGCCACCCTGCTGCAAAAGTCTCAGTGCAGTAGTGAGAATTTCTCAAGTCACGTACAAAGGAGATTCAGAAGGAAATACACTGCATTATAAGTCAAGTAGAGATATTTAGCAAATTTATTACTGTATTAGCTGTTACCTCTGGTATATACACAAGATTTGTCTCGTATTTTTTCCAAGTGTTACATAAAAATGGAAACAAGGAATTAAAGTACTTGAATTTTGCAAAATGTAGGAGGTCTGCAAATTACCGCAGGCTGCAAGTGAGCTTATGTAAAGGCTTGTTTATAAGGTCTGACACAAGCTCTTTTCCAGCATGGTTAAACATAGTTCTCCAGCTGAACTCCAGAATGCAACCACTATTTAAAAACGAGTTATTAGCATTACTGTGGCAGAATTCAGCAAAGGTGAAAGAGGGCTTAAACATACTTCTGGTTCTCTACATGTTTTAGTGATACTTCTCTGCTGGTGATAATGAAACTATCACTTTATAGACCGACAGTACAAACCTTGACCTACATATAAGACCAGGCTACATATAAAAAAAAAAAAAGGAAAAAGGGAAAAAAAAGGAAGAAAAAAGAACCTGGGTGCATTTCTGAAAACAACCAATGCAAAACAGGAAAAAAACAGTTTTCTGCAGTGCACAGCTTTATAAACATAGCATCGTGTAAGAAATGATAGCTGCATGGAAACATGAAATGAGATCAGATTCTCATTTAGAACTGAAAAGAAACTTAACTACGAAATTTCCATTTGCATTGTGGTATTGGTATTAAAGAGAATAATTTCTTTTACGCTACTACTACTGCACCTTTTAAAAGGATTTGGTTGCCAAGGAAACTGGTTCTGGCCCAGTATTAATCTCAAACAAATATATTACAGAAGTTGGTGTTAGTAGACAATCATCATAATTCTTTTTATTCTTAATGCTCAAATTCAGGCTTTTGTACGTAAGGCTGGCAGTTTTAATTTAACGATGTTTTGTGTTTGAAATAAAACACTCCAGTGAACTGATACTCTGTTTAAGCTGACAAGGCCGTCTATATCAATCATTTAAAAATCTTCTGCTTTAAAATAAAAAGAAATAACTGCAGGTTTATGTTTGTATCCAGTACTGAAACTATTAGTATTAAAGCTTATTAATCTTTATTTAAGATTTCGCACAACGCGTGGGAAAACGCTTACAACAATTTAAATATTTTTCATTTTTCTTATCTGCCTTAATTTTTATTTTTGCATTTTAACTGCAAGCTCCATAATGCTCACAAGCAGCTTTAAAATGTAATGGAATCAATCGGGTTTTCAAAAATTCTTTTGTTGCAGAGGCGTCGCCACGCCCTTGCTACCTACGGTTATTTTAACAGACATGACTGCTCTACTTTCACAATAGTTTTTTTTTTTTTAAATAGGTAAAAACAATTCTCATGCCAATATACGAAGCCAAGCAATTTACTATCATGTTGCTTTCAATTAACACATTAATGCATTTTTTAAACCGACAGCTATATTCTAAAGCCCATTTTAAGTTCTTGCAGCCCTAAAGAAGAAATCGGTAAAACATGCAAATCTCAACCTACCTGCATGTACCACTTAGTGCAGTGTTAGCATGGCAATGCACCCAGCCATTTTTACGTAAAGCGATGGAGACAAACTGAATTCTCAGTCTTCTTGATAATTTTTTTAGAAGCAGTTGTCAAAAATCAGATGGGAAGCAGCTTGAATAGACCATGATCAGAACTGAATTGTCAATAGGGAAAAGCAGGAGTGGGGAGGAAAAAAAAAAGTCTTCATCCGAGGTTTTCCAAAACTGCAATACAAGATTATTTTTTTTCTCTCCTCCTCAGAGGGTTCGCAGCTCAAAGCTGACCACAGCAAAGGCCACTTGTCACATTTACTGAAAATCAGCCTATTGATATCACAGCTGAGAATATAAACTCGACAACCAAAGCCCATTGCACAACGTGGACTGCGTAAGAGTTAAAAATAGATTCAACGTGCCTCCTACCTGCATAATAAATATGTAAGTTTCAAGTGCTTTAATTCGATATTCACATTAATTAACAATACAATATACATTATTTAAACTACAGTAAATGCAAGAAGAAAAAGGGTGACACCATCTGGAAGCACAGTTTGCTTTTTTTTTTTTTTCCCCTCTTTCCACGGGCTAATAACGTAGTTCAAATGTGATGACAAGCTAACAGCTCACCACATTGCAAATGAAAAAGAATTCTTAAGGTGATGCTCAAATATCTAAGCCTGTAATGAAGCATAAACCAGTCTTCGCTACTGCATGCTATGGCACAGAGACCATTTACATACTCACATTTGAGATACTAGGCACAGTATAATGAATTCAATACACAGCATGCACACAGCACAAGCAACGTTAATCCTGCCTGCCATTTTAGGCTTGCAGGAGTAAGATACATACTGCAGCACAGCTCTGGTAAGGGAGGAGGCAAGGGACAGCTCACCTTAAATGCAGTATCTGATTAATGTTGTAAGTGACATTGCACATCGGCTACAGAGTCTTGGTTCAACTGGGTGGGAGGGAACAAAGAAAATTGTCATCAACTGGTGATGCAAGATGAGCTCCAGTCACTAGCACTGTTAGCAAACTCCAAATTCTACAACGATACAGTAGTAGGCATTTCAAACTCTTATCAAAATCTGTCTGTGCAATAGCCGAGTCCGCCTGCCGATGAAAACAAAACAATCTTCTTGCTTATTGGAGAAAGGCTGGATTGACTACAGTGACATCCTCTTGACGGAGAAAGATTTCACACAGCACATTAGATCCTGGATGCATTTGCTGCGCTCTCCTATCTTTTTTAAGCCTCAGAATTAAAAAAAAAAAAAAAAAAGAAAAAAGAAAAGGAAAAGGAAAAGACAATTATAGGAAAAATATTATAAATAAAAATCTAATTTTCATGCAAATAAAACATTTCTTTTTTTTTCCTTTCTGCCTTTTTTTTCCTCTTTTACAGTCCATCAAAACCCTGAGCAGTATTGACAAACCACACAAGCAGAGGGTCTGACTGCATGATCAGCTGTCTGTGTCTACGCTACACCCTGTTAACCACAAGCAGTGTTAGAGCTAAATATATCTGCAATGCAGAAACGGTAGGTGCTGCGTGGTATACAATTCTCATTAGTCATAAAATATTTTTCTATCATAGATATAATAAAGCAAAGAAAAACTGCTGCTGATCTTTTTTAGGCACCGAATCTGTCTGACTTACCGAACATAAAAAACAACCAAAGTATACTGACCTAGATAGCACTAAGACGACTTAAGCAGCAAACAAGCATACTCACTGTCAAAGCAAGGAAAAACGAAACAAAGATTGTCTAATCAAACTGAAAGCAACAGCGCGCTACCACAGTATGAATTCCAAAACGCTACGTACTGTATATGCACATCTCATGTTAGTGGGAGATGCAAAGCTCCTTTGTTTTTTCTCGGAGGCTTTTCTTAGCTACGGTTGCACAATGACATTCTGACATCATGGAGGTCACGCAGCTACTAAAGTGCTGTCGTCTTTTGGAAGAAAAAAATCATTTTGGAATATTAAGCCACAGCTGCAAAAATAATAATAATGAATGTCACATAACCTGCTTAACATCTCTCCTTTACCTTCTGGGATTAATAGTATGTACATTGTTCTGCTGCATACATTAAATTGGTTTCACCCTCTGCAGCGATTGCAGGAGTGTAACTGCGGGAATTAGATTTCTATAAATAAGTAGATAGAAAGGTTAAAAAAGAGATTCTAATTCTCCAGAAAACTTAAAAATACAATAAAATATTTGATATGGATAATGAAAAGCATTAAAAACTGTTTTTTTTAATGTCTAATTAGCAAAACTGGTTTTATTTGCACTGTCAATATGTTTCCAAAGGGAGAGTGAAAGCGCCATAGCACAACTTCTTATGACCTGAAATACATTCCCAAAACACTAAACAATCAGATGAAATCAAACAAACCCTTAGATCTATCTGTTTATAGGGAATCTTTCCGATGCACTCCCAATGACTTATGCTTTCCTTTTCTTCCCACCCCAGATACCTAACACACAGAACAGCAAACGTTAACGTGCAAGCTCTGGAACTATTTCACTGAAAGAGTTATTTAAGCAAATAGTATCTACCTTATGCATAATATATACATTTTCTGACCAGCTTCTGAAAGAGAGATTTGTAAGGCAGGATTTTTATGGAGAAGCTGTTTTTTACCTGCCAATACAGCTAGGGGAAGAGAGGAGAGAGAAAAAAAAAAAAAAAAAAAAAAAAAAAAAAAAAAAAAAAAAAGCCAAATTGAGACACCCATTTTTTCTCAGGAACCTGCATACCTCTTCTTTTCCCCCTTAAAGTAATGCCTGTTTGTTTTTTTTTTTTTTTTTAAGGTAAAAACAATAATATGGTGTCTATTTCACACAGTAATGCCTGAGATTGCTATATGTACACATTATATTTGAATGGGGTTCTTCTGCAGAACAATCTGATTTTTTCTTTCTTTTTTAAAGAACTTTCTTTTTAAATGAATATATATATATTTAATTTGGAAATGTTTATCTGGAAAATTGTTTGGCATTCTGTTCTGTTTGGTTTTAAGGGCTGGGAATGAGATGATCCCAACAGTCAGTGCTTTAAAATATTCAGAATCCCCTTCCATAAATAGCACATCTGTCACAGAGAAATGGAACACAGCCAGCGGAAAGGGAGACCAGAGCAGAAAAAAAAAAAACAGTTTATGATTACAGAACAAGTTAGGACTTTAGCAATCATTTATTTTCATTATGTTTGTTTTGAATTTTTTTATAGTTAAGAGCTGTCAAATTGTGTAGATGTCACTATACATCAACTTTAAACTTAACTATGATTTTTTTTTTTTTAAAAACGTTCATCTTTCAGCAACACATATACAATAGGCGCTCTCATGCCCATTTTAAAAGCATGGTAAAGTTCCTATGCATTTCAAGAGGGGAGGATTTGGGTCTCATGCAGCTGTCTATCGATTGGTTTCTGACAAAATGTGACGGGACACTTTGGCAAACCAAAGACTGCTTTTGTTTTAGGACAACAATTTTCTGCAAAAGGCAGACTTCAGTAGAGTTCCAGCAGCCAACACCATGCAGGAACAAACATCTCACACTGAGCAGGAAAGTGAGCGTCTTCAAAACCTGTATGCGGCACCTCTTGTTTCAACCGACCTTTTTCTGTCCTTAGTAATATTTTCTAGGGTCAGATTTGCAATGACTTCTCTTCAGATTCAACAGAGTTTCAAAGATGATTCAACACAGTTTTAGTAAAGAAATCATATTTTGGACTGTAAGATGCGCAGTATCTGACTTTGCAAAGAAACTCTGAACACTGCATTTACAGGTAGTAAATGCACAAAGTAGGCCCAGTAGAGAGCTTCACACTGCATGTGATTATTAGGTCAGAAACGTAGGTTTAAGCTCTAACCTGATTTGCACTGGAACTGTTACAGTCGCAGTCACAGGCAGTGGTTCCCCTAGTATTTGGTTTCAAAACTCCCTGCCTCAGCTGGGCTAGGAATATGTCAGCTCGTGCCATGAGCTTGTGTCTGCTCTTCCTTTGGTCACCTTAAATGCAGGCTACTTCAGGTATCCTCACCGAGTCTCACAAGCCATTTGTGTTGTGAATCTTTCTGATTTGAGGAATGGAAGCCCAAACAGATAGAAGTGGGAAGACTCATGCAAAGTCCCCAAAACTGTACTGATTTTTGTCTGACAGTTCTACCACACCTCTTCAATCAAGGGGGAAGTATGTGAGGGCAATCTGGGGGTCTGGTTAACTCTGCCAAAGACCAAAATGGTAGCAGTAAATATCCAGAAGACAACAGGCAGATTGTGAGGGCGGGGGGGAGGGGGGAGAAGACAATAGGCACTTCGTTTTATATGGATAAGCTCACTCTTGTTTTTATTGAACATGGCCCCAAACAGGACCAAGAGAATAAACAGTCCCTCTAGCTATAGAGGGTACCCTGGATGGGGGAAATATGCCTTATAACTGATGAACATTCATGCACGTGGGTTCATTTCCACCTCGGTATTTACTTTTTTTTTTTTTTAAACTGTTTAACAGTCCTCCTCAAGAAATTGTAGTCAACTGCCCTGTGATCCCATCCCTGCAAAGCTATGACAAGGGGATGTGAAGCACAGCTGGGAATCCGGGGTGGAAGGTTTGAAAGCACATGCCAGAGCCGGCTACGGCCTTTTAACAAACCCGCTCTTGAAGTGATTGTACCAGCCTCTGAATTTAGCTGCATTCATTATATTTATCTCTTCAGTCTGTTAGTGTCACAAAAAACAAAACAAACAAAAAAAAACCCACCACATTGTTGATCAATATCAAGTTTAAAACTAGAATTATTCTGAAAAAGTAAAAACATTCCCTTAATCTTGAAAAAACTTCTCTGACCTAACACTCACATTCAGATAAGCATCCCTATATACTTGTCCAAACTTTCAATACTCAGACCAGACTCCTCCTTCTCAGAACCCCACCACTGCATGATTTTAGAAGCTACTTCCTTTAGTAGTGAAACTCTGGCTAGTTGCTGCTGGGCTGTAACAAAAAAGGGCAAAGGAAGAGGACTGATCATAGTAATTCATCAGTTTGCCTTTTGTAGAGCCAAAATATATCACTTTTATACCCATTGCAGATGACATGCCCCAGACTTCCATTAGTGTTCACATCTAGCCAAAGCTGTCCCTAGGATGCAGGCTGTA